TACGAATAGATTAAAATTTCTAATTTACTTTCTTGAATTTATTGGATAATAAAACAAATATCATTATTGATATGAGTTATCACTTACATCGATGATTTTCTCTTCAACAGTGAATATATGGACATATGTATATCATTGGGAGAATTTAGTATTTTATATAAAGGTAAAATTAGTGCAAATTAAATCGTGAAAAAAGCCTCACTCTGATTGGAAGAAACAAAATTTTTTCTAAGTAGAAAAGTGAAGGTGAAGTTTGACAAAGATTGAGCACAATACATCTTTACAAAATTAGTGACGTTGTTATGGCTGATGATACGCAGACTTTCGTTGGAGAATGATAAAAAAAGGGTATAGTATCTAGAGCCAAAGCACGATTTCAAGAAAAGTTAAGAGCAGCAACATCGTAAATTTGATTTCGCATAAACTTGTTTCCTGCAGGCCACTTCGACGAGTAGCATGAGAAGAAGAAAGTTAACGGATGTTATATACAGTACGTAAGTTTAGTGTTGAAGGTTCTATAGGTGTAATAGGACCCGATCTATAAAACCCTTAAAGCATGAAAGACTGAGAACCAAAGTATTTCCTTTCTATCTTGGAAGGAATCAAACTTGACGTAAAAATTTTTACGTCTTCTTTCTAACTCGGACATGAACAGCTTTACAAAAAGTTAGTGATAAATTTATCCTCGTCAATGTTGAAAACAACTTTTTATCCTTCTTTCACTCTCTAAAGACTCTTCAAAACTTGAGTTCTAGAAAATAAGGAAAAATAAACTCGGAAGTAAGCATGAAAAAAAATTCAATTCTCCCTCTTTCTGTATTTTATGAGTAAGTGAACGAATGCTCTCAAAAAGTGTCTCTAATTTTTCACTAATTTTTCATGGTTCTACTCTATTATCCTAACTTTTAGTGGTTTTTTTCATATCCTATCAAGTACCTAGACTGGGGTACTCAGTATAATGCCATGATCTACTTCGTAGAATTCTAAGATGAGTGTAAGGGTAGTTAAAAGCCCCTACAGAACAAAATTACAGTAAGGGTGAATCAGCAGGGGTTAAGTGAAATTGAAGTCCGGTTGCTGGATGAAAACTATATACTCTAGCAAATCTACGACAACATTAAACCAATGGTTTCATTTTCTCTTTTAATTTTCAGGAGTGGGTTGCGACTGTGAAGTCAAAAAAAGAGTGAACTAAGTGTTATCAGTAGCTAAAAAATCTCACAGAAGAAGCAGGTACTTTAGCGTAAATAACTTGAGAGAAAAGTTTTTGCAGTCAACGTTTTTTTATCGTCTTTAATTAAATGAGCGAGGTAATTTTTCGTTAAAATATTTTGTTTCTTTTTTTCACTTAATTCTCTATCAACTTCTTTCTTGTAAAACTTACCGAAGAAAATTCAGTTTGTATTGCACTCACTTGTTTGTCTTCATGTCTAACGGATGTCGTTATTTAACAAACATCATAAAAAAATTGCTAATGAACTGGAGAAGATTAAAGCATGAATACAAACGATTTGCATAAATAAATAAAAAAAAGTGTTTCAATAATTACAGATCAACAATTTCTTCATAAAATAAATAATACTTTATCAAATTAAGTTTTATCTTTGCATAATAAAATGAGTGCTCATTCATACAATGCTAGAAGTTAATTGTATTTTTCATATTCTCTTTTGTACATAGGTTTAATAATTGATTCGGTCATCAACATCAAAGACTAGTGTGTTAGGATAATGGTCGTATCTGTTCGATGAATTATTGGATTGAAAATTATTACTTGTACAGTCGATAATGCTTCTGGTGTCCCTCTCCTTTGTTACGTTAATCTTGATAATTTCTCGTAGCAGTAAAAAAGTGAACTTTATAATAAAAGTTTCACGTTCTTTGTTCACGGCGAGTAAATTTCTTGCAATAAAACGAAACATTTTTTGTGTAAATCAATATTTTGTTCAATGGAGCTCATAATAATTGAATGAAAGATTGATGAAGTGAAAAACGAGAAAGCGTTAAGTAAAAAGTAATAAAAAATTCATGAAGTATCCAAATATTATTGGACAGTATTTTAGATGATTTACATATTACTTTTTTATGAATATAAATGGAATATTTTCATGCAACCGAAGACGGACAAAAGATGTAAGAAATAACTTAGCTCAAGTCTATAAGTTTCTTTTCCTTTTGAAGAATGGAGTTTATATTGGAGTAGAGTTTCAAATTCTCAGCGCACGACTTCAGAGGCGATTTCACGAGAGAGCTGAGTGTGAAAGTTTGATAGGAGATGGAAAGTATACGTGAAAAGATGTCACGGTATCGATTGTCTGTTTGTATCGAAACTCAATGTTAGAGCTATTCAAGTTAAGGAATATTGCGAAATCGTTGAAGAAGATTGCTCCTAACAAACTTGCTTCTTCTTCTTTTTATCTTTTCATTAGGAAGTTATTGTAAAGGAGTCGATTTCTAACATTCAATATTTTGTCTTGTCCTTACATTTTATGTATTTGAAAGTATGTTAAAAAGTATTTAAAAAAATGTGTGTATGAATGTTTGCACACATATATATCAAGATATTTTCGTTACTATTTCAAAAATACATTTAAATATCAATTTCATATAAATATCTTTTGGGAGGTGATGCAATAAAGAAGATCTGAAAGATATTTGAACAAAATCGGTCAAGCTGCTCTTTCTTTGTAATAAGAAATCTGCGAAACTAAACAAAACGCTGTAAATCCTATAGGAATGCACTATAGTGCATTCTTATTACACATCTAAACGTGTTAAATATGACGTCACCAGGATAAAAATAATCAGAGCTTTATTATTTGACTAATCAAGTACTCTTATTCTAGAAAACGTCACAAGAATTCTAGTCAAATTTTATTTGTAACGTGAAACAATTTGTCATATCATCTCATAAATAGTATATGAAAAATTAAACAGAGACAATTTGAGAATTTTTACTTTATTTCTTAATCATCATAATATGTTATCTAGTAAAAATGACTGGATGGACAAAAATAATAAGAGCCTTATTAGTTGACTAGTCAAGTCAACTCATTATAGAAAATGTTGCTAGAATTCTAGTAAAATTTTATTGGGAGTATGGAACTATTTTTCATACTTTCTGATAAACAGTATTAGAATAACCAAGCTGCAATGATTTTATATACATAAATATTTTAATCATCTCCAGTCATTTCGGATAGCCAAGCGGGCTAAAGCGTCAGTTTAGTTAGTTGCGTGCGTTAAGTGGTTGTAGCTTCGTATCTTCTCAATAGAAATATTCTTCGCTAGCTCCATTCGCTTTTTAGGTCAATTTGCCTTTTTTACATGAAACATACATTTTTAATTATTATTGCTAACATTTTTATATATTTATTACATAGAATTATATTTTACAAATGTCATGCATAAATAAATAGTATTATATATGTTTCTTTACAAAAAATAGAAAATTAATCACTAAAATGCGAAAAAATCATAGAAAAAAGAAATCAGCACACTTTCATTTTTGGACACATTTTTTCTATAGGTTATTGTGGATATTTCGACGTTAGAAAATTAAAAATTGCCCATTGTACAAAAAATATGCTCACAAATAGAGCAAAGCCTCCTATATTGACGGGATTATTTCGAATAAGTATTACTGTACTGTATTAAGAAAATTTCCTTGAAACTGAATTTTTTAAGCGTTAGAATAAATCATCAGTTATTACTTTTCGCTCTCCGTAAAAACTAGTATCTATGGTCAATAATTTATAAACAGTTACATTATTTGTTATAAACAATTGAAATGTATTATGGAAAATTGAGAATAGTTTCTACTAATAAAGTCCTACTTTTGTTTTTAAACAATCACATACAGTTTATACAATTGAAATTTATTATAATTAATTATTGTGTGGATACAGTATACACACAGATCGATTTTTTAAATTTGATATTATACACTGTTTATTTTTATTTTTTTTTTCTTCAGCAAAAAAAGAATGAAATAATTACTGCAAGAAGACGTTTCAAGGGTAGAATAAGTTTTCTGTTAACGAGAAAAGTCAAGTACTGAGCTGTTAGAAGCCACTGAATTGGCTTTGTAGTTGAACGTGACTGTGATACCAACGGCACATTGGAATAATTAAACTTATCATAAAACATTTACAAAAGCTATTTCTCGAAACAATAAGCCAAGTTTTCAGGCATATCCTAATTAATTAAATATTCTTCTGATAAAGGATAATTAATCGCTTAATCTTAATTTTAAAGTTCAATTAAAATCGTAAAATAAAGAGTACAATTTCTACTTTAAAAAGTTGCAATGTAAATCTGTCAGCTTGATGACAGAATAGTAAATCACTTGTACTGTGTAATTCTAAAATTTTTTTTTATAAAAATATTATCTCTCTTAAGTTTTCATTTATCAAACTTTTTAAATCTCCTCCAAAATAATTTACAGAGTTCATTACTTATCGATAAATCTCATACAAAACTCAAATGTTGGAGGATTTATTTGTATTAAAAATAAAATAAACTTTCATTGTATAGGTAATGCAAACTAAAACTATTCCCCTTTAAAGCAGATGCACTCTATTTCGAGATAATAGAGGCAAATGTAAACTTCTATACTGATTCTGTTTTCCTTTTTCCTCTTTATACGTCTATACGCCTCTCTAAAGCCTAAATATTTGCTATTGAACGAGGCGTAGTCAGTAAACTCAAAACTGTAGAGAATAGTTTATAAACTGTTTCATCATGTAATAGAAGCACTTACCGCGATATGTGAAGTATTCAAATGATATAATCGGCTGGTTATTTTGCTCCATTAAAGCTCTGATTTATTCGTTGATTTAGTTAAAATTGAATTTCTGTAAGAAGTTGGTTTAAAAATGAATTAAAAAAAATTAAATATAAATGGAAAGATAAAAATCGTGGGCTTTGATATGCAATCGTAAGTACAAAGTAAGCTCGACCGCCGTAGCGCCCAGAACCACTAATGTGCTCGCTCGCAGCGCGGACGGAAACTTCGAGGTGACCTTGGCCACCAAGGCCACTATCTACCACCAGGGATTGGTTGAGTGGAAGCCACCAGCAATATATAAATCATCCTGTGAAATCGACGTGGAGTACTTTCCATTCGACGAGCAAACCTGCGTTCTCAAATTTGGTTCGTGGACCTATGATGGCTTTAAGGTAAATACGCATGGTAGCCAATAAGTAATTAACGTATATTTTACGTTTGAAAGTGATATGTATCTTTCTTTTAAAAGCTACATTGAACTTTCGCGAATGATTGGTTGTGTTTGTCCGTGTATGTGCCGTTACGCTATGTCACAAAGTAGGAGACTAGGTAGCTGCTTCTTCAAAGAGGGGGGAAATAAAATCAATGATAATATAAATGAAAGAGCAACTAACTTGAGTATAAGAATAATGGAAGTTAGCAGCAGCCTAGTCCACTTATTTCAGGACCAATCAAGATCACGTTGGGGTTGTTTCTTCGGTGATTGCAGCGCTGACGGAAACTACGAGGTGACACTGATGACTAAGGCAACGGTGTACTATTCCGGACTGGTAGTGTGGCAACCTCCAGCAGTTTATAAATCTTCCTGCTCCATCGACGTTGAGTTCTTTCCCTACGACGTACAGACCTGTGTTTTGAAGTTAGGCTCCTGGACTTATGATGGTTTTAAGGTGCCGGACTGTCGCCGTTTATAAATACTAAATGCGACAATAGAATAGACTAATTCGAAAATTGATCGACACGATTGCAAAAAAGACTTGTTGACTGATTTATTTTACTTGACTTGTGAATTATTTGATTGAGATGAGTTCTTAGGAATGCCTCGTGACAGCCGTCTGTCGTTAAAAAGCTCGTGCGATGCGCTGTTGGACGTCATATATATATTATTCTTATTATTATAAAATATTAACTTATTTATATTATTATTGTTATTAAAAATTATTATATGATATTATTGTAATTTTACAGTTTATTTATTTACAGTACTTGGAATGGCCGATTTGTATTGACGTTATAATTCTTTTTTGCAGTTTTTTCTACGATGTATCGGTATAATATAGTATACATTAACCATCGATAATAGTTCGAGATTAAAAGCGCGAGATAAAGCGCTTTTTTATTAATCTTCTACATGATTTAATGATATGATAATTATTTATTTGATTATATATATATATATATTTTTTTCATTGATATGATTAAGTTATGCACTTTTAAATACGTGGGAAAGGTATAAAATAATGCAATTGATGACGTATAAAACAATTTAGTACAAAATAAATATCACAAACAATTTGGTATATTCACTGACAATATAATTAAATGTAATAATATTTCATGTATCCTGTATTGATGTAATGTGATAAACCATCCCAATCGAAACCATTCCAATAGTGATAAAGTGGCTGTAGATTTTGCATTGCTTCTACAAATCGAAATCACTCTCAATCGATTCCAAGTAGTTCAAATGTTAGGAAATTAATATAATGAATACTTGACGTTTGACATAACATGATGCTAGCATCCAGCTCTCGAGTGACACTTTGTCACAATCCTTGATAAACTGTTGATCAATTAAATTGTTCTATAATTCACCAGTTGATCATCAAGATAATGCATACATAATTTGTTTACTTTTCTAAATTGTTCGTTAAAGATTTTAATTCGAGTTTTTCATCGCACGAAGGTTCAAACTTTATCGATGACTGGCCCATTAACCAAATTGTCCTTGCACTGGGAATTAGCAAGTTGCCAAGGTTATTAAGATAGTGGGACTATTGCAACGTGCGATAATTAGCTGTTCCATTAAGGCCATCCTCAACGGAGCGCAGGCGCTAATGTCTGTGTCAGTTTCCTTGGTTATTGTTCTACCTTTCCTATAGTGCAAATCCATCCGGAGCGACTGTGAACACTACCATTTACATTCTGCCAATCCCCAGGGACTCGTGACCAGCCTACCGCGTTCTTCTCATCACCTCTATTCGCTTCCTTCATTTTCGTTTCTTTTTTTGTGCTCACCGCTTGCGACGTGCGGAATACCGAATGTTCCAGTGTTTCCATTTACTTACTGATTTTTTTTATGCATCCTACGACACTTGTGTAAAATTAATGAAACAAAATTGGCAAAATCAACCACAACCTATTAATCAGTGCCGTCTATTTTCTCTTCCTTCTTCCTCAAAATTTAAATAATTTAACTAACACAAATTTGTCTTTGTTTTTATTACTAATTCTTCTTGTTCTTATAACTTGTTGGAAGTCAAAAGGGACTTGTACCACAAGTTCCTTAATTAATGTTTTTGAACTTTAATCTTTTTGTCATAAATACTCATAACCAAAGTACTTTCATCCACCGTACAATCTCGCTTTTGTATTTTACTATCACATATATGCTAAATTAATAACGAAAATTATGAGTATCCTTGCCTTTCTATATTCTTTCAAATAATTAAAATAACAAATAGCATCTTCTTTCAACAAATTTATCTTAATTTTCAAAATCCATTTCTGAATGAGGAAGAAAGACTGCTTTATAAGTAAATTCTTTGAAATTCTTCATAATTCACTGAAAACACAAATATTCGAGTATTACGTTCTCATACCTATACAACTTAGCTACGTTTTATCATCTATAAATGTCATTGCAGAGACTTTTCAATCATCTATAAAAAGTAAAGAGGAAGCACTCAAGAGCAATCGCAACGTATAATAAAATTTTTTTACTACAACTGAAACTATTCTTCATAATTCTAGTTTACTGTTGAAATTTTTTTTTCTCTAGAAATGTTTCTTTACTTTTGACTAGAAGCATTTCCATTGGAAGCTGCTTTTTTTAAAGATTTAAAAATTTTCGATGTGTAAGTAAACTGAGAAGAGGCGAGAAAGCTTTATAAAAAGAGAGCGAGACAAGCTGTAATGGAATATTGCGGTTGCGGATAGGTATTGGATGTCTGCTTCGTGCTGTTCCACAATATGCATGCCAATGTCACTTAGCAATGTAGAAGGGAGGTTCATATGAAATTTTACAATTGACCGGTTCAGTATAGTGAGTAACTAATACACACAAAAATACAATACACCACTGCTCTCCACTTCAATGTTTTGAATCACGTGCAGAATTTTCCATTAGCATAGCCGCGAAACTGATAATAATGGATATCCCTTGCAGATCGAATTATTTATCGACAAGCTAGAATATTATTCACGCACTCTCAGTGACTCACATGGTGATAATATGAAATTAAAATTTCACATAACAACTGCCCCAATCAAATTTTTTCCATTGATTTCAACTCTGAAAGAGATATGCGAGCTTATAGAATGAAAGATATCATACACTTTATGTATGAATGTATTTTTTCTGTGAGCAAGAGTGTTCGTTCAATTTAATATTATTCGTTCAAATTGACAATATCACTCATCAAATGTTAGCACGGGTTTTAAAATAATAAAGACTAATATCAGATGTCTTTCTTGATGCTTTCAATATTAAAAATAATCCAATAACGTATCAATATTACTGTTGGTATATATCACGTGACATCAAATGATTATAAAATCGAAGCTTTGAATAAATTTTCATCGGAAAAAATATGTTCTTGTCAATAAACTTGGGCTTTTTTGTCATTTCTGGAAAATATAATTTTCAATTCGAAAAACAATTTTTACTACATTATAAGAACTGGAAGTTTAAATGTTATATTAAATTAGTTTTCAATCAAATAACTAAAAAAGAAAACGTTAAAAATTCACGAAGTAAACGAAATTTTCGCATGAATGACTTTCCTGTAATATTTTTCTAGTCATTAAATAACATCAGTGATTTTACTTTTTTTCTTTATATAAAATCGTTTTTTCTTGTTAATTCTTTAGACTTTTTTGCTTGAAATTTCATGCAACCATATGATTCTCGTGGGAAACAGACTGGTTTTGGTGATTATTTGACGCGTGGTTCTCACGCTTTCATTTGCGACGCTAGTCACAAAAAAAACAATGATAAAAATTTTTGTTGCTCATAATTGACGTTTGAACAATTTCGCGTATTTCTCAGAGTTAATTTTACCGTAAAATTCAGAAAGATAAATGAATTTACATCTTGTTCATATTATTTACGTTTAGACTTAATAATCTTATTAGTGATACAGGTTCACTGTCATTCAATTTTATCTTCAATTTGTATTAAAACTAAGTGACACTCATCAAGTACTGCAAATTTATTGAAAAGTCTGTTGACCTAATCGGAACAAGTATCAGCAATTTAATTAATTTCTCTCTTTCATTAGCTGTTGCTAATTTTGTGATGCTTAAATATTCCCTAGTACGTAGTATGCACACGCCAATAAGTCATTGTCAATGTGCTCTCAGCTCATTTTTAATCACTGACAGAGTAATTATTGAAAACATTTTCAAGGATTTTTGTTACAGATGAGTAAATTTTTCAGGTAGATATTTAATGTAAAAAGCAGTACGTTTTTGTTTAAATACATTATAATTATTTAATTAAATAGGATGGAGTTGAATTGATATTAAAAATATTTTAAATGTATAAAAATGAGATGATACCTTATTAACGAATCTATTCCATAAATGAGTTCTAGACGTTATTCATTTTTAAAAATTACCAAAATATGATTATTTAAAATTTAAATTTTCACTGGTTGAGAATTACATGAAAGGACTTTTTTAGATTTTTGAAATCATTTTAATTTTATCACAAACTTATTCTATATCTAGACAGTTAACTGTAATGAAGAAAAGTTACAATTTTTACATTTATCAAATGTAAGCATTTTCATTGAATTATCACTAAAGTTTTCTTAACTTTCGACTATGTATAAAAATAGTTGAACAAAGATAAAATATGTAAAGGTCATAAATCGAATTTGCAAGAATATAGGATATGGTTGAATTATTTCATATAACATACCACCCATATGTAGATTGATTTTGCGAAACATTCAACAAAATGAAAACTAACACATGTGTGCTTCTCAAACTTTCATCCCAATGAATGTTCGTCACTATTGAAGTTTCTCTTCTAATTACTCCAGAGCAGACGTCTGAATTTAAGTTAAATAATTTTTTTACGAAAAAAAATTTTTATGGATTACTTTTACCTCTTGAATGACACTCCAGAGAAATGAAAATTACAAGAGGGGCCACTCTCGTCTTT